CTCATAAAATGTCTCTAAGAGAAACCCAATGACAATTGTTCTCCAGTGAATTATGAGGCTTCTAAATGAAATGCTCCCTGATAGCCCTAAGTGGTGTGTGTTTATTGATGATCTAATGGTTTCAGAAAGGCAGATGGTATGAATGCAAATAAAATAATAAGTCCAGATTTAGCTGCAACTCTTGTGATGTGGCCTAGTTTAGCGTTTCACAAAATTTAATGTGCCTCTGGGGAGATTGCTAAAATGCAAAATCTGTTTCAATAGATCCAACTGGGGACCGAGATTTTACATTTCTATAATAAGCTCCCAGGCCATGCTTATGCTGCTTGTCAGAGACCATGCTCTGTGAAGTAAGGATGCTAGATCAACGCATCTCAAATTTGTTTCACCTAACTTTGAGACATCTTATGGGAAAGGATTGTATTACCAGGAGGGGCATATTCTCTTCTTTCTTGCAGATTTGTGATGGCTATTAGCACCAAAAAACTACATAATAAGGAAAAAAACTCTGTTTTTTTATTGTGACACACACACATACACACACACACACACACGCACCCCATGAGTTCTAGCCCCTTAAAGTCAAGTATCCAGTACAGTATTGTTAACTCTAAGCACAATATTGCACAAATCTCTAGAGCTTTTCATCTTGCGTATCCGTAACTTTGTTCTCATTGAACAGCAACTCCCCACTTCCCTGTCTTCATGATCGACTGCTTTGAACATATATAAGTCATGACCTTAGGTAAGAATAGAATATTTATTGAGAGAAGGTTAATTCTTACCAGATCTGCTGTCAATGGTTGAATACTTTGTTAAGACCCAGTCGTGATTAACAAGTTTGTATTAACACAAAAAAAGTGAATATTTGTGAGATTTTAAAATGAAATTAAAACTGAAAGTAAATATTTTGACATTATAGGCAATTTAGGATGGAAGAATGGAGAACAGCCTTTATATTCAGATAAATGTAAATTTGATTCCCAACTTTGCTTCTTCTATGACTTGCTCTAGTCAACCCAACTAAAGTATTGAACCTTTCTAAGTCTAATTTTCTTTATATGAAAAATGTTTATTGTAATATGATTATACAATTTTAATAACAATTAATTACAACGATGCCTTGTCAAGAGTAGGTGCTCAATAAATCAAATTGGAGCTCTTTTATGATTATCAATAATAAAGGTGAATTCCACAAATAATAGGTTTCTATTACTTCTTAGACTCTGCTTGGGCTAGGCCCTCAGTAAATAATTTAAAGTAATATAAAAACTACTCTGTGATTAAAATCAGGTTTTGACATGCTTTATGAGCTCCTTTTATATGGATTTTTTATAATATGCTTTCAAAATTATTGGCAGATTTACTCCGTGTCTGTACTTCGAGCTGGATAATGGAAAATGATTTATACAGTTTTATTGAATTTACAAGGGTTAGAGTAAGCAACATTAATTATTGCTATGTCATTCTCGCAGGCTCTCAGGAAGTGAGACAAAACAGAAGCCAAACTAAATGTAATTAGCATTAAAATGACTCAAGCATGAAAAATAATCGAATGGGTCCTGAAGTGTCTTATTCTTGTCAACAACAGAAGATCATACTTGTTTGCAAAACATTCATTTTAATTGCTTTTCCCCCTATCATGTGAAATAGGAGAGGCGTTTTAGGTCCTTATCGTATTTCTCAAATAACATTTTTGTTTTTGACATCACAACCTACACTGTCATAAATAATTAACCTGACTTTTAAAACCAGGTGATGCTAGCTGAGAATCTTACAGGATGAATGCCAGCCGCCCATCTCCCAAAAAAGTCATCACTTTTTCTTTCCCAACGTGTATTATTTAATGTAAATAAGTTGTCTGATCAGTGCATTCTCTTTGGAGTATAAACTGAAAATTTTGTGAGTTGGGGGTTGAATTTAACATACAAATTTTCCCAAGAAAGAGATATTTTACATGGGAATTCCATCCAAATTCTGCTCACTAGACATGGGTGAACAGTGGAAATATTTACCACTGACCCAAAACTGTAAGAAGTGAGCCCAAAATATGAGAAGATAGGCAGAAAGAAGAAAGTCTAGGAAAAGAGAGAGGAAAGAAACTGAAAGTGTTGTAAGTAGAAATATAGGTAAAGGCCCACAAACGTCAAGGAAGTGGGGCAAATTAGATAATGATAGACATAGATTATTGTTTTACATTGGAGAACGAGGGGTCTGCTCTGTGGTATAAGCTGAGAAGTGTCAAGTAGGGAAAGCTGAGACTATATTCCCTGCACGTCTACTGGAATTCAGTTTTTCTAATTATAATGAGACAACCTTTTCAGTAGATTGCTGTTAGTAAGGAGCTAGATCAGGCAGAATCAGAATCAAATAGCCACAGACAGAAAATTCTTGGAATCACAGACCTATTCTAGAAAATCCAGGCCTCCTTTTAGTTACATCAGAGCTGATATTCCGCAGGGACATACTCTTTTGGCTCTATTATTTGTAAATTTATAAAAATAATTTTATACTGTTTGGTAAAAAGCTGATGCCAGAGTGATCCATGTGTCCCCTTTATATGCATACCCGGTTTCTTCCCCGGGTACTTCAAATTCGTGAAATCGAGCAAATGAAGGAGTAGTCAGGTATAGCGGGTTGCTCCAGGATAGCACAGCTTTATGGCTGCTATAAATTTTGACTCGTAAGTAATTGTGCCAAAACAGCTTGGCTATCACCCTTGGGAGAAGTATATTAGTTCTGGATGGTTGAAAGAATAGAGTTTCAGACAAAAATAAAATGCTCTGAGATACGACAATGGGACAAAACGGACCCAAAGCGGAATTTTGTCTATTTTAGAGTCCAACTGAGGTTCTTCTAACCTGGTACAGCAATATCATTAAAATGAAGTCTAATTTGGAAGCATTTCTCCATTCATGAACATAGACTGCAATTATAGGAAGGAGAAAAACAAAATAGTTATAATCTTTTTTTTTTTCCTGTTGTCCTATCAGAGCCATTTATACATAAAATCTAAATCATTCCTTTTTTTTTTTTTCTACTAAGGAATTTCATTTCTATCTAGTTTCAAAATCAACATTCCTCACCTCCTTCCTTGTTGCTTTCTGATTTAATGAACAAAAAAATCCAGGGCTCTAGTCACATTCGGACTTGATGGGGTCTTTCATGACAAGATGCCTTGACACGTGCTGCCTTTCTTGCTGGAATGCCAGTCACATTTTATTACACCGGTGACATGCAAGGTTCAAATGACATCTCCAGTGCCCATTCTCTGCGTATGTGAACTCTCACCTAATGTAGTCGTCTACACACATGTCAAATGAATTATTTTAGACAAACTTTTTGTAAGTTTCACAAACTTTAAAGAAGATGAGGTAAATTGTAATAAACCTGCCACATTCCATTAAAAGAAATATTGCCTCTACAGGATTTAATAAGAAGATAATTATCTAAGAAATTAGACCGTCCTACCTTATTATTTTAAACAGTGAGTTGTACGTGATCTTGGGATGAAAAACTCTATTGCAACCCAGTTATTTCTTTTTCAGATGTAATTGTCGAACTTTCTATATCTATATTTGCACTTCTGGATAATACGATGTGTATAACTATTCAAGTTCTAATTCTGTGTCCTGAGTTAATCAATTTTCAAGTAAAATACAGATGCCCCTCTGGAGAATGCCATTAAATTAATTATAATACATTTCATAATTGTATAGGCTTTGTTTCCCTTCATAATATAAAAAGTTAATTAAGGAGTATATAAGATAGTAATTTTGTCATCATAGGTCTCCTTTTTTCTTCAAAATAGTTCAAATTGACACTTAAATTTTATGTAGTGTATTTTTATTAGGGAATAAAGGGGTATGTTTTCACATATAGTGAAGTTCATGTAGAATGATAAAAGTAGCAACCATGTTTTAGATATTTTCTTGCATAGGAAAGATTTTTGATCTTGTATTTTTATCTTGTAGTACAGACATACTGTGTACAAAGAATCACAATTTTATAGGGGATAGTTATTTAATCTAGTCTGTTCATCAACTTTCATCTAGCAAGAAAGTTAACACACAGATAAAAAGTTGATAAAATTTTGTAAAATAATAATAATAATTTTCTTACGTCGAAAATTCTAAGTACTGGGCATTACTGTCAGTGCCTTGGATAACCATATGACTTGGTAGATACATACAACAACACTATAAGATAAGTGTCATTATTCTGATTTTACAGATGAGAAAACTGAGGCACAGAGATGATAATTGACTTGGCCCAAGGTCACGAGATAGTGATTTAGGTTTAAAAGCCAGGAAGTATAGATCCAGAATCTGTTTAGCTAACTTCTAGGCTACATGTCAATGTCAGATATGCAAGGAAGAGAATTCCTTCCATCAGAGATGATTGCTAAGGGAAGGTTTCATATAACAAGGGGAATTAGAACAGGGCTTTGAAGAATGAAAAAAAAAAAAAATGGAGTTAATAGAGTAAGTGTGTGGCTGAAAAAAGGAAAGGGAGGTAGTCATAAGGAAAGAAGTTGCAAAAACGGAAATATAGGTAGGAAAGCACAACACACATATTCAAGGGATTGTAGACAGAGCAGTTAGGAAAGGGGTTTTTATTTAGAATTATTTAAGATGACAAAAATGGATATATTCCAAGTGTTTTGCTGGATATTATTTGATACATTATATCATTACCTCCATTAAAATAGAATTCACCTTTAAATTCATTTTCTACATAAATTAGTTCCAATATTGGCAATTGTGTGTGTTTATCTTAAATGTCAATCTGTTACTAATCTCATGATACTTTTTTCTCACAAACTCCACCCATTATAATAAGATAGTATCATGTCAGGAATTTGCCTGTTACTCAAAGAGGACATTTTTAAAATGAATATATGTAATTTGGACACAAATAAAAACTTCCTGGTAAATTTCCTAGATAAGAATGCAAAAATCAAAAAGTAGTAGTTTATGTAATTCTGTATTCTTTTCCAGGCAAACCAGTGATGATAGTGACAGAGTATATGGAGAATGGCTCTTTAGACACATTTTTAAAGGTAGGATTTGGGACTAGTTATTGAAAGTGTTATTTGTACATTTGCTGTGATGGTGAAGTGGAAATCGTGCCACTTTAAAACTAAAGTTTTAATGGAATAGAAATGCATGAAGTCAATAATTGTACTCCAGAATTAACTTCAGTTTGAAAATTGTCCTTTTCTGAAAACTTACGCAAGTTATATGCCCCTAACAGCTTTAATTATGTGTCAATTTGCAAAAAATAAAAAAGGAATGAAAGAAGAAAAAAAGAAAAAAAAAAAGAAGGGAAAAGGGGAATAAAAGCTTAAAACTACTTAAATTTCTCAAAATACCTAGTATCAGGCAGAGCAAGAAAAAATGTCCAAAGGAGCCATGCAAATAATTGTGAAGGTGTCAAATGAAGGTCTATAAATGCTCATAGTGCCCTTGCCAGCCAGTCACTACTTGCACCGATGAAGAAGTCACGTGGTAATCAACGATAGCCAATATCGTCAGATGATCTGGGTTTCAGGAAAAGATTGTTCTACGCGCAAATCGCCCAATTTTAAATGTCGGCAACTCACTTCATTGGGAAATGGCTTGTGTTGGACAGCGTAACATATTTTCAGGTCTGATTAAACCTACAGGCTGGCTTTTTGTAAGTTCAGTATAGTGACGATTGCTTTTGATCAGGAAAAGCGATGGGGCGATGGCTTTGATGGCCATTATAAGAAGAGCCTGTGCAATGAATATGATACTGGTCCACTAATCAGCCAAAGTTTCCTTCTCATCTCCAAACTCTACCAGATTCTGTTGCCAAATATTTGAACCATACCTTCAAGTTCTCTAGTATCTTAAAGTCACATCATCAGTTTATTTCAAAATAATTATTGGTTGAGCCTCACGAGCCTGTGTGACTGCATTAAGTTCAGTGCCCTTGATGAAGACAGTAAACTTCCAAGAATTGCTAACATTGTCCTGGTCATTGCTCAGTCTTCCGTCTCCCTTCTGCTGCTACAGAAACTCCTGGATCTCCTCTGGCCACTGTATGTTTACCTTAGTATGCCTATCCAGCTAGCATCTTTTAAATCACCTCAAAATATAGACAGTATTGACCCAAGGCAGGTACTAGGCTGGAGTGATGAACAAACTCCTCTGATGACTGAGAATAAGGGAATGACAACGCAGAAAAGAGCAGCTAAATGAGATTTTTGACAAGGGTTTTCAAAGCCTTTATCTGCTTTGACCAGACAGAGGACAGATAAACATTACCAAGTTTTTCTAACATTTTCCATTCTCCCTCAGCTAGCAATTGCGTATGAATTTTAATGAGTGATATTAGTAATCTGGGAGTTGAAGGAAGATTTTTTTTCATATTTTCCCCCAGCGATTGGTGTTGCTAGAATAATATTTCTACGTTGTCTTTACAGAAAAACGACGGGCAGTTCACTGTGATTCAGCTTGTCGGCATGCTGAGAGGCATCGCCGCAGGAATGAAGTACCTTTCCGACATGGGCTATGTGCATAGAGACCTTGCTGCTAGAAACATCTTAATCAACAGTAACCTTGTGTGCAAAGTGTCTGACTTTGGGCTTTCCAGGGTACTGGAAGATGATCCTGAGGCAGCCTATACCACAAGGGTAAGATCTAACAGAATGCACTTCTGATACACTAGACTAGAGGCATTTAAATTTTTTAAGATTTTAAAGCAAATAGCAAAAGGGCATTCCTATAACAAAGTCAGGAAGAGAGAGAGGGCATTAAAAGTCCAGATAATTCTCCTTTCTATGGATCAGCAAATTCAAATATTAAACTCAGATAAAAAAAAAATCTTCTCTGGGAGGGAACGATGGTTCACACCTGTGATCCCAGCACTCTGGGAGGCTGAGGAAGGAAGATCTCTTGAGCTCAGGAGTTCAAGACCAGCCTAAGCAGGAGTGAGACCCTATCTCTACTAAACATAGAAATTAGAGCTACACCTAATAAACTTGGCCTAAGCAGGATCCAAGTTATAGAAAAGTCTTTTGCCAATGTGATTGGTTGGTATCTTAGTTAAGTGCAAAAAGTAGATTTTTCGAGGTTTGTGTCAATGTGTCATGCGACAGAAGTGGTCCCTAACCTTTTTGGCACCAGGGACCGGTTTCATAGAAGACGGTTTTTCCACGGACTGGGGGTGGGGGGCAAGGTTCCGGGATGATTCAAGCGCATTACGTTTATTGCGCAAACCTCTCTGCCAATGATAATCTGTATTTGCAGCCGCTCCCCAGCGCTAGCAACACCGCCTCAGCTCCACCTCAGATCATCAGGCATTAGATTCTCTAGGGAACCTAGATCCCGTGCATGCACAGTTTACAGTAGGGTTCAAGTTCCCGTGAGAATCTATTGCCCGCCTCCCATCTGACAGGAGGTGGAGCTTATGCAGTGATGCGAGCGATGGGGAGCGGCTGTAAATACAGATGAAGTCGCTTAGCTTGCCCGCCGCTCACCTCCTGCTGTGCAGCCTGGTCTGTGGCCCTGGGTAGGGTACCTCAGTGCTACAGGGTTTACTTGAGAGACAGAGATCCTGAGACATCCCCCCCTCAATACTCACTTCTCTGAAGTGGGGTGTGGTGGCATTTTGTGGAAAATCTACACAAGAGACAAGAAGACAAGGGAACTTCAGATAATATTAATAACCAGGAGAAAAATTATGGACTAAGGTTTAATATAATCAATAAAGAACGATACTGAGAGAATGGTAGAATATCTATGCATAACTAGGCCTCATCGTGTGACTTTGCCTAGGAATATTTAATTAACAAAAATAAGTTTCAGGAAAGTCTTCTTTGAATGGTGTTACCATATGTCTAAAGAGAAAATAATTCAAACCTTACTTCAACTCCCAGAATAATTTCAAACATGACTCCAAATTATTATTTCTTTATATATCTTGAAACTCTGATTAATAAACCGCAATTTTAATCCAGTTATTCCCTCTAGTATGTGAATTAATTATTCCCTTCCTCCAAAAAGGGAAGGCATACATCAGTCTTTTTACAAGAAAGTATTCAAAACCTTCACCTCTCTTTCTCTTGATATATATTTGCTTATAGAGGAAATATTTGGTTATATGGGCTTGCCCGTTTTTAAAAAATAAGCGAAAAATAATTTCATACTGAAGGAGGCAGGATATAAAGGTCCTTATTGTGTGTACTAAGAGAAAACATACCAAATAATTTCTCTCTTTTTTTTTATTTTTTTTGAGACAGGGTCTCACTCTGTCACCCAGGCTGGAGTATAGTGACGTGATCATAGCTCACTGCAGCCTGGAACTCCTGGGCTCAAGTGATCCTCACACTTCAGCCTTCTAAATAGCTGGGACTACAGGCACACACCACTACATGCAGTCATTTTTTTTAAAAAATTGTTTATAGAGACAGGGTCTCACTATGTTGCCCAGTTTGGTCTTGAACTCCTGACCTCGAGCAATCCTCCTACCCCAGCCTCCCAAAGTACTGAGA